GTGAGACGTGTTTGTTTATTTATGCTTCCTGCTCTTTAACAGTTTGCTGATCCATGAGAGTATCTGTCCTCTTATCCCATGTATTCTCAGTTTATTCATGAGCCTTTGAGAAGTACTGCAATAATGCCATTCCAGTCTTAGAAAAGTGCAGGGCTAGCATTGTATGTTCTCAAAGGCAGAACGATTTCTCCCCCTTATTATTGTTTTCTTCAGAGAAGGAGCTAAATGAAAATGTTGCTGTGGAACAAATGGAAAGCTGAAAGAATATACGGGAAAACAATCATGGAATTGTTTGCCTCTCTCCTACCTCCACCATGACGCAGAAACCATTTTGAGCACTGAATAGCGGTAACTGTAAGACCTAACTTACAATAGGAGCCTCACTGTTACAGTATAAAGCACTTCATGGGGCTCCAAGTCCCAAATCACAGTGCCAGTTAAGGAACGGCCTTTTGTTTCAAAAGTTTTCCATGGCTTCGTTCGGCTTTACAAATAGGTCCATGAAAGCAGCTAGCCCCCCCCCCAAGTGGTTCCTGGCCTCTATACTGACATTTCCAATTGTGGTATGTGGTACATGGAAGTAACGCTTTCTAGAACTAGCAGAGATTTCTAGATTGGTGAATGGCAGTAAGGTAAATGAACAGGATCAAATGCTTTGCTCTGCATTTGGGAATTTCAAACGTGTGTTTTAATAGTCACATAGTACCTTGCCTTCAAAAGAATCAAATTGGTCATTTTTTTAAAAAATATATATGAAATGCTCAGAGTTCAAATATTGGGAATACACAAAGCAGTACGGCTTTGTATGCAGAATGCCCCTGGTCCAACCTCTGGCATCTCTATGTAGGGCTAAGAGTGTTACCTGCCTGAAACCCTGGAGAGTCACTGCTTGTCAATACTGGAGCAATCTGGCTTTTGGTATAAGGCAGCTTCCCATGTTCCTACTGTATAAAGCAGTACCTCCTGCTTTTCTGTTTAAGCTTCACCCTCCTGGCGATATTAGATACAGGCTAAGCTTTTCAAACACCTTTCTACCTGTTACCACTCCAACCCTCCATTCAGATCTCACTGTGTAGGTCACACCATGAGGTGGCTAAAGCTGTCACCTCATAGTGGGTAGGATGTCATGATGTTAGACTACCATCTGCTTTGAAATATAGGCATTCCATGCCTCTGGAATCTCACCTATTTAGTGATTGCAGTGCTCACTCCCCCCCCCCTTGTACATTGTGTCTGCTTAATGTGTACCTAATATTGGAGGTTATATTCTAAAATTCCTTATTTACCACTCAGTGTTATTGGGAGTCGGCTATGTGGAACCCTCTAAATATAATAACACACATGCACACACATGTATAAGCTAAGGGCTGTTTTAGTCAAATGTTAATGGTGGCAGGTCTGTCACATGTCTCTCTGATGAATACAATGAGTGCATGTAAAAAGGTAAAGTTAAAGGTACCCCTGCCCGTACGGGCCAGTCTTGCCAGACTCTAGGGTTGTGTGCTCATCTCACTCTATAGGCCGGGAGCCAGCGCTATCCGCAGACACTTCTGGGTCACGTGGCCAGCGTGACAAAGCTGCATCTGGCGAGCCAGCGCAGCACAGGGAAACGCCGTTTACCTTCCCGCTGGTAAGCGGTCCCTATTTATCTACTTGCACCCGGGGGTGCTTTCGAACTGCTAGGTTGGCAGGCGCTGGGACCGAATGACGGGGGCACACCCCGCCGCGGGGATTCGAACCGCCAACCATGCGATCGGCAAGTCCTAGGTGCTGAGGTTTTACCCACAGCACCACCCACGTCCTAAATGAGTGCATGTATTAATCCCTAAATATATATAGGCCTCAACCACATTGCCATTTCTGGAATTGCATTTGGGTTAACAAAATATGTATAGGCCACTCTTTGTTGCCCACAAGGCATCCCAGAGTGGGTTAAGAACCAAGCTGTTTGGGATTTATTCTTATTAGAATGAGATTTAGTTGATATTATGCAAATATCCCCTCTCCCCGCCCCAATATAATTTTGAATGTAAGACTAATAGAGTCGGTTAATACTTCAAAGAAATGTGTAGCTATGGCGCTAGTGCCAGGAGTTGGCATAACTGGACAACCTACTGAGACCCACACCTTTGCAGGTGGTTCACTGCCAAGAGTACCCTATAGATCCATTGCCACTTGCTCACTCCCCCTGCCCACCCTTCCTTGGTTTCTGGAAAGCTCAATAGCAGAAGAAGCAGAAATAACTGCTGCCTAGTCACTTGCCAGCTTCCTTCCTGGCAAGCAAGCAGGCACTATTAGTGAGGAGAAGCTGATGGCAAACGACCTCCTAAACCTAGAGCCCATGTCCACTTTCTAGAATTTATTTGGATCTACACAAAAGTGAGATTCTGGAGTAAAGGAAGGCTAGTACTTTATACAAGCCAGCGTGGCACTGAACAGAGTAACCAGCACAAAGTGCTCATGACAACTTTGTTGAAGCATTGCACCCAGTGCATGGACATCCAGTAGGCTTAGAGGTGAGAAGGACATTACCAGTTCGCATATAGGCTCCACAAACTCTAGAGTTTGATGCATACTCAAAAATAAGAACAAACAAGCATAGGCAATGGGTGCAGAAAAGTATCACTGTTGGCATCCATCTGTCTCGGGAGAGAATGGAGTGTGCCTCCAGGGGCAACGTCAAACCACTGAGTTAGCAGCACTAAAGTGACCTCTGTGGGGCACAAGTATGGAGGTCTTGAGCGGCCCAGATGACAAGATCCCCCTCTCAGCCTCACTGATATGGTCCAAAGGAAAGCAGACCAATATGTCTGGCACCAGCTTGGCTATGGGAGATACTGGAAAGAGGTGTACAAGGTGCCATCCAACCGTCTTAGGGACTCCACTCCCGATTTGTGTAGGGTTTGCTTCTTCGACTTTTCTTCTCCTGAACATATCTCAGAAGGCAGTGGAGGTTTAGGAGTTTTTCTTATAGCTGGAAGGAGTTTTCCTTCATGCTGGCTGGGGCTGAGTCAAACAGCATCTGGAGGAGCAAAGAAGAAGAAGAAGAAGAAGAAGAAGAAGAAGAAGAAGAAGAAGAAGAAGGAGGAGGAGGAGGAGGAGGAGGAGGAGGAGGAGGAGGAGGAGGAGGAGGAGGAGGAGGAGGAGAGTTTGGATTTGATATCCCGCCTTTCACTCCCCTTCAGGAGTCTCAAAGCGACTAACATTCTCCTTTCCCTTCCTCCCCCACAACAAACACTCTGTGAGGTGAGTGGGGCTGAGAGACTTCAAAGAAGTGTGACTGGCCCAAGGTCACCCAGCAGCTGCATGTGGAGGAGCGGAGACGCAAACCCGGTTCCCCAGATTACGAGACTACCGCTCTTAACCACTACACCACACTGGCTCTCACTAAGGTTCCCCCTAGCTTTAAACCATCCATCTTGAGCTCAGTTTCAATTCTCCAGCTGGTGGTACTGAAGCCCCAGAGGCCAGTATCTCCTGCAACAACTCTGAGCTTGAGGCCAGGGCCATGACAGTTAGAGATGCAGGTACTGACTGACTACAAAACAGTGGTTTGTGGCAATCCTGTGATGCCGCCCACAGTTTCTTTTGTGCACTCCAACACCACCCCAGTCCAACAACCACAGCATAGTCTTCACAATTCAATCTCCACTTCCACCCCTCACACTGTAACTCACCTGGGAAAAATCCACAGAAATTGCTGGTGTCTCCTTCCAGGCAGCTAACACCACTTGTCTGATGGGGGACACTACTGCTGACGCTCTGCCCCCGGAAGCTGCCATGTTGTACGTGGCAGAAAAGGGAGTGTCAGAAGGTTACCTTAGACAGGGTGCAGTGTTCCCTTTCCGTGCACTATAATTCCAAAGTGGTGTTGCAAGAATGTGCATCTTTCCTGGAAATGAATTGCAAGTGCACAATAATAATAAGCCACTCTAAAACAAAGAAAAAGAAAAAAGGTCTTCCATCCCCCCAAAAAACATTTGCATTTGGCCCTCGCCAGCAAATATACAGTTCTAGCTGAGAAGGACAGGGTAGATTTTGCCAAACCTAATAATTATAGCTACTGTATTCAGGTTCAAGCTGCATATGACACTCAGTTGTGTGGTTCTTTACATTATCTGTTTAATAAAAGAGAAGTGTTTGAGAACCAGAAGATAAGTGAGAGGAAAGGAGATGTGTAACTTTCCCCCCTCTTGTCATTTGTCATTGATTCTGGTCCTGGACCTTGGCTTTAATTAAGTTCTGGGAGACTTCCTTTATCCAATTCCCTTTTTTTTTGCAATAGCAATGAAATAGAAGTGTGGGTATTATTTGGGCACTTCCAATGCTTGCTTATTGGTTTCATGGAGATTCTTCTCTCTACTAATTGCCATGAATACAAAATAGTCCATAGCAGTTCTGTTTTTATTAATCCAAAGTAAATTGGCTTAACTTTATGTACATGACTGTTTTGAAAGGGAGAACTTGTTCTGTTGCTATTTTTACAAAAAATCTTTAAGATGTTAGATAGGGTTCTCCCCCTTGTTGCTTTTCTGATTAATCATCCTGTGCTGTGCATGGTACAGTGGTTCACACAGTGGTCCACGACGCACGTAACGCTTACCACAAGGAAGTCATTGAAAATGGCATTGCTACTGTGTGAGTGACCCCTGTGGGGAACTGTAACATGTGCTCTGACTAGTGGCAAGGTGAAAACAGCTGGGTGCGCACAAACAGATCACTCCCCGGAGAATACTCCATGTGGCTTCTTTAAAAGGAGCCACAGCACAGCTGCTTATTCTGTGTGATCAGGCTTGAGAGTGAGTGAGCGTAATAATGGGGCAGCTTATCTGAGGTGCCTGCTCAGCATTTGTCCCTATTGATTCCTTATTGCAAATGCCGGGAGTTTAAATTGGCTGCTGGAGCTATCCCCTGCACATTTCTGCTACAATGCTAACCGTGAGCATGCGCAGCACCAGTCCTCAACTGGCTGTGGAAGGGGGGGGGGAGAGGAGTACCACATCGCGGTCTTCTAGCTCCGAGCTGCCAGTTCCTGGTTGCCAAGCAGTTATTGTTTCTGTGACGATTGCGGAGGCTGTTGCTAATTGAAGAAGCCTTCTCAGCATCCTCCTTTCTCCTCTTTCGCTCTCCTCATTTAAATTTTAGAGGCAGAAAGAACAGAGAAAGAGAGAAGGGGGTAGAGATTAAGGGTGGTATATATTTTGGTGGCATTAAATTTTTAATTGGGAAGGAGAAGAGAGCCGCTCTCTCAGCTGGTGATTAAGTGATGGGCTAGTTACTCATCTGTATTCCTTTAGCTTTTGTGACTCGAAACACTTGCACAGTTGAACGCACACACGCACACACACACATTCTCTCTCTCTCTCTTTCTCTCTCTCTCATGCACGCACACTCAAGCAACCACATACACACAGACCTGTGAAATCCTGTTTGCCACTGCAGTGGGCACAAGTAGGTGAACATGACAACAGCTAAGGAGCAAAGTGCTTCAGGGAAATCAGTCCAGCAACAAGAACAGGTAATGCTGTTGACTTTCTTTTGAGCAGCGTAGAGATTTGTATGCCTCTTGGTTTGTTGGTTTGTTTGTTGCTTGCTTGCTTGCTTGCTAGCTTTTCATTTATGGCAGTGGGTGACTAGTGTTTCTATACAAGTCACCAAGACAGTGCTGTTTTCTACTTATTCTGTTATGTGCCTATTCTCTATAAATGTGTGTGTGTGTGTGTGTGTGTGTGTGTGTGTTAATATGATGCCTCTAGCCCCATGTTATGTGTAGAGCAGGAGCATTTCGTGCAGGACCTTGCTGGGTATTTTGTGTTTAACTGCACACTGCCAGGCGGGACAAAGGGTGGGGAGAGGGTCTCTTCCTGTTAGAATCAACCCAGTTATGCATCTGCAGCTTGCTAACAAGGGTAGACATCCTAACTACTTTATTTCTCCTTTCCCCAAGTTGTGCCTGGACTAACGAAAGCAGATTTTCCATGCATTCCTTGTACCTGTAAAACCACCATCTAGCATTGCTGTTTCTGTTCAAGAATGAAGTGTGAGCAACTATCGAGATACCCTGTTCCAATCATGGTCCAAATGTAATTAAGCTTTTCTTAATGGGAAATCACAGACTATTCAAGCCATCCTGAACACCTACCTACATTCTATATTTGTCTTCATACACTTAGCAGGGCTGCCACATCCCCTCTCCCTGGCTTCTCATGTACATACAGCAACCCTGACACACTGGAATTTAGCAGGTGAAGCTTCTCCTTCCTTCCCTTTGCTATTTAGCTTCATGCCAGCTGTTTAATTTGTGTGTGCCTGGGCTGTTGTTAAATGCACAGGAGAAAGGCCAGTTAAAGAAGAGGAAGAAGAAGTCGTCAGACCTAAGAATCGCCTCCATATACTTGTACCAGCAGATGGATGATTGTTTTTTTCTGGTCCAGTTCATAAAATGAGTATTTCTCAGCTTGACTTCTTGACTCAATTGAAACAACTTTCACTGCTGGTAAAGCAACAGCCACTTCATTGGTCCTGAGTAATAGGCAAGGATAACGATAGCTGACATATAGGAAAAGATTGCTAAGACACCTGAGATGCAGCTGAATGTTGCAAACACTTCAGAGGGGCCTTCTGTACAGCAGCAGAACAGAGTAGAGTTTCCTCTCCTCCCCCAATAAGCCCTGCCATCCCTCTCTGTGTTCACATGTAGCAGAGTCTCCACTGGAAACTGAAGGATTAACCCATCTGTTCCAGGTTTCACATTCTTATATTTTCACTAACCGTGTTCAGATGTAAGGCATAAACCATGGTTTAGCGCCAAGATGGTGGAACCTGCAGCCTTCCAGACGTTGTTGGACTTCCATGAACCTAGTCCACCCTCCCCTGATTTTGCATGCTCCCCCTACCCTCTCCTGTGCAGCTGCAAAGGGATCAGAAGCATCCATTTCCATTTTAGGTTAACCACAGTTTGACATGTCATCCAAAGTCTGAACTGTGGTTATCTTTAACTATGGTTTGTTGAAATAAGCCAGCTTCAGAAACTATGGCTTGAAGTTGGCTTGCTTCAATTAATCATCATTAAGATTAAGCCACACTTTGTCTGGGTTCACAAATTGCAGTTAATTTAAAATGGGAGTCTAAGTTTACAAACTCTTCCTTGAGGCTGCACTGCAGGAGGCGTGGGGGGGGGCACATGAGCCCCAGGCTCATTGCAGCTCACTCTTGTAATGCTAAAACATAGTTTAGGGTTACGTCTGAACCAGCACTTTGTCACTGAGATTACAATGCTGCTTTAGTCATTGACTAGGATAGCACAGGGGACTAATTAAAATAGATCTCCCCAGACACAAATTAATTCTTAACATAGTTTTCTTCCAGTGATATGCTGAGAGTTGCAGTCTTTTCTTTTCTTCTCTCTCTCTCTCTCCCTCAAGTGTATATGTCTGTATTTGAAGGTAGGCTGGAAAGGCAGATGGTTGGATCCTCATTAGGTGCAGTGCAATCAGAAATAGCACACAAGGACCTGACTTTTCAGGGTGACATTTTATTGAAGCAAAAAGCTTTATCAGCTTTTCTGCTTAAGTGGGAAGCAATGCTCCTCCACCATCCCTGTCGCACTTTTGTTTCTCTGAAATTCCACCTTTCATTTAAACAAACAAAAAAACTTCCATTGACTTTTTTGCTCTCTTTTAAAATATTGTTTCTTTGTACATCAGGCTTGCTGTTAGATCAAGCGTGCTGAAAATCTTGAAATTAAGATTATTATTATTTGTCAACAACAGACAAAAGGCCTTGGACTGTGAGGTTTTGTTTTGTTTTTGTTTTGCAACATTCCTTTAACCTCCTGCTGCTTAATGGGCCCTCTCTCCCACTGCTAAAAGCTTTGTGAATAAGCTGCCACCTAAAGTGACTCAAATGAAATAACATTTGCATCATTCATGGACTTTGCCTGTGTGCCCTTCACTTTAGATTTAGCCTCATTTCTGTTATAAACGCTGAAGAATTCTGTGTCTGTGCAAAGCTTCCATATGCTAACAGGAAGCAGGAGTTGGTCCAATCCTTGAGATCGCTCATCCTGTTTCCATGGCAGTGAAATGGTGTGTAGGCCTTCTTGTGAGAGTTCTGGTTTAAGAAATAGGCAGCCAACCCCCGCTCCTTTATGTAAGTTGCTGTTCTTATATAAAGGAAGCTGGTCTCTCTATATTTCTAAACAGACCAAAAACTGTATTTCTGTAAGGGCGGATCTGCCAACGACTCATTCCCAGACTCAGACTGCAACCCTGTGCATTATTTTAATGTCTCACATTTTATTATTATTTTTTATATTTTGCTGGAAGTCATCCAGAGTGGCTGAGGAAACCCAGCCAGATGGGCGGGGTATAAACAATTAAGTTGTTGTTGTTGTTGTTGTTGTTGTTGTTGTTGTTGTTGTTGTTGTTGTTGTTTGGAAATCCTATTGAAATCATTGAGATTTACTTCCAAGTAAATATGGATGGGATTTGGATGCAAAAGAGAGATGCTGTTGAAATTCTTAAATAAAAACTGTTTACCGAGCATCTGAGAAATTGTACTTTAATGTTCCAAGTAAAAGTACTGATAGTTATACTCTCTCAGCTATGATGTTGCTGTCACATACAAATAAACTAAGCATTAGCCCTTAGTAAGAGTTGAGAGCCCCATTTCCCAGTATTCACATATCTTCCTTTTGGGATATTCCCCCCTTCATGAAAAAAAAGCAAAGATTAAATATATATATATATTGAATGGTATTATACTTTAGAAGTCATTTGTAGTGGTCTACAGTTCAATGTTTCCATGTGGATTTGTGCTTGTGTGTGTCTATGTGATGGGGGGGGGGAGGATAGATCTGGTATTAAAGTAATGGCACTCTCCCCTTACATAGAAATTAATTGAGAAGAAATTGCCTGTCATGCAATGGGAGTACTTCTGTAACTGTGCTGAAGATTATGCCTACTTTAGAAGCAGCTGTTACTGTCATATAAGACATTGCGAGCATTTCCCTTTTTGCATTCCCCATCATGGCATTACTTTTGGACTAAGGCATTACAGTTAGCTAAAGTATAATTGGGTTTTCTGCAATACAAAAAGGAAACTAAAAATGGCCAGTAAGTAGCGCCAAGGGGGTGGTGTGATTATATTGTCCTTCTTAATTCTCCAAATGCTTTTGCATAAAAACCCTTGATCTGTCTTAGTAGTTAAACATGAGGTTATGCATTGAAATGTAAAGATCTGGAGCTTCAGCTCCAGATGACTCAGACCACTAGTTTAATTAAACATGCCTGATAGTTTAAACCGTGGCTGATCTGCAGTTTTCTTGTTCTTAACTTGGGCAGAACATTAAGAGCCCCGCAACCCCATTGTTTGGTCACGCAAAGCCCTCTCTATACGACAGTCATCCAAGTGAAATCAGTAGGGCTTACACAAGTGTAAGTGGCCTCGGAATTTAGAGGTGAATGTCTCATCATGCATGATTGCATTGCAGGAAAAATATGAGGAATACACTGAAGGCTCAGTTTCCTTCTTCAGTACTTTGGAAGGGATGGCCTTTTCCACTCCATTTCTCAGAAACCCATAGAATTTATCTTTTGCACAACACATGAACTATGCAGACCTGCTGCCCATAAAAGAAAATGTATGCCAATTGTCCGTGTATGTTCTTTGGACTCCACGGGTTGGCCGGTGGTGAATGTCAACTTGGTTAAGACATAATGTGTAACCGTGGTTAGCTGAAGGTGAAAGCAAAAGCTTCTCATCTCCTTATGACTGTGCTGGAGAAGCGGGGGTGGGGGGAGTGCAGAAGTCTCATGCGCATGACTGTCATAGCATGTCTAAGATAATGAAGGCACCCATCTAGTTAACTCTTTGGTGGCAAGAGAAACACTTACAGCAGCTTCCACAATGCTCTGGATACATGCACTTCTAGCCTCTAGGCATTGGTCCACAGGTCTGAGCCCTATAGAGCAGTTGCAGCAATGGAGGGGGCTCCCCTCCTCTGGCTTATGTACCCTCCTCTGACTTCTCCTGCACGGAAGTCATTGCTGCTCTTCCATTTTCAACCCCCTCCTGGTTCTAGGAGACAGCCGGGTGTTGGAAGTTTGGAATCTACTGACCCATCCCTTCTTCCTACCCCACATCCTGCACACCTTCCTCTGCCTTGGTCTGCCCTGACTCTGGCTCCTTCCCTGGCTCTTGCTTTGTGGGTGTCATGACACCCCTTAGTCACTGGTCCCCTCTCCTGGGTCAGCTCCCTGATCTCCTGCCTCTGCCACACACTCTGCCAGGCATGGTCAAAGACAATGACTAACTATAGTTTGGTATTATGTACAAACCAGGCCAGCAAGTTAAAAACCCACATTCTGAAAAGCAGAAACCAAAAGAGGGCACATATTTGCATAACATTTGCATATTTCAATTTATGCATATAGATGCAAATTTAGACACAACTGCTATACATCTTACCAAAAGGGAAAATACTGTGACCAGGTGATATGTGTGCCTGCTTACTCT